TATATATATATATATATATATATCTGTGTCAGTGTAAACTACTTGTATCTGATGATAACAAAGCCTTGTCGAAACGTTGTATATTTGCTGTTATGTTAAACTTGTATTAAAGTTTTCTTCATTACCCATTCAAGCCATCTCGAAGTATTATTAGTCTCAAAGTGGGTTCCTCGTCATCGAATTCGAAACTGTATATTTATTCTTTACCAGCGACGAGAAAGCACAGAACTTTCCGTGTTTTATATCCCACCACGTTATTGACTAGCCACTACAATTTTTCACAGCGTGTGTTACACTTTAACATTTCAGACTAATAATAAGAATTGTGGCTTGAAATATTGAGGTGTTATATGTACTGCTACTCTTGTATATATAACATTATTGCACAATTATATATAGATAAACTGGTTTAAATACGTAACAGAAATCACACTCATGCTTTTGCACTTTGGCCTGACATATCCTGTTATTTGGGGCACTCGACTCGCAACCTGCACTTCCCAATCATGTTAACATTCGGCAGCTAGTATCGTTTCCATGTCAACTGATGTCAGTATTAGTCACGAAGCTACTAAGCACCACCTCAAGAGTTTTAGAATAACTCAAACTTGAACAACATTATAAATGGCCTACTTTACTATAAACATCCATCCAGATCATTTTTGTGTAGTCAACTGTAAAATACACGCACACAAGAAACAACAACAAAACTACTTTCGTTGTCATAATATAGCAACCAGCCCAAATCGTCATACTTTTCCTGTTGGTGCTACCATCTAAGGGTCGTGAAAAACCTGTTATATGACAGCGAAAAATGACTCGGGACAAGAATCTAGCAGAACTTGTTTAGTTTGAGTTGCTCCCTCAACAACTGGACAACAATTGCTTTTAGATGTAGTTCAAGAAGACTATTATATACACATCAATTTATTGGAAACTTTCTTGCTTAGCGACACAACAATAAAGTCGCTCTGGCTTACATTCAAGATCTCGAGTTTGCCCATGAATTTATTACAGGCAGACGCTCACCAGAAAACGTATTGTTGCGCCAGCGAGGTCACGTGACTAGTATCACGCCACGTCCTTCTCGAACCTTCGTGAATTGTCGGGAGACTACTAGATTGGGGGTAGTCTTGTATATATAAGACGGTCACAAAGTGACGGCAATAATGTGTAATTGAACTGAGTATTGTTGAGTCGAGCACGTGAGGCGTTCGTTGAGAATTATAGCGTTTGTTATAGCGCGACTGTTGAAATTAAGTGTATCGCAAAGTTATATTCAGAAAGAATAAACCAGTTTTATATAAGAAAGGACATGTGTTGCTAAAGTTTCGTCGGAACGAATTTATGGAAAATTAACTAACGAACGGAGACGTAACAATACCATATATGTAGTTCTTTTCTTGTCAAATATCCACTTAGGCCAATTCAATTACTTTAGAATTTCAGTTGACAAGCCGAACTATCTTCTCTATTTCTATCGCACTAGTACTCTCTGTGATTCGCTTACATTTAACAATTGTGACGCGAGTCACCATAATCGTTTGGTCTTCTTTCTTTTGAAGATCCTCTGTTCCTTTTGTCAAAGTGCACTCAGGCTGGTTCAATTACTTTAGAACCATGCTTTGATGGAATATAATTATTTTTCTTATCTTATTTTCTACCGTTAGTTTCACTCTAACATATTAAGCGTTAGGCCTATCACTTCTACGGTAGTTAATTTCACACCAACTTTATTCTCCCTCGTTATTATCTGTCTGCTTTTGTATGTCTGTTGCTTCCCGCTCGTCTCATGCTATCTATATCGTTATCACTTACTCGTCTGCCTGCCTTCTATATTCTTGGCATCAATGAATTATTAAAAAACTTCCTACAGTCGTCTGCTTTTAACTCTTATTGTAACAAAAACTAAACAATAATAAAACATTCATTCAC